TATTGCTACACAGCAATGTGTGTCTCAGCGCCGACTTATCTTAGAAACAAAACTTTCAAACAGCCCAAGATCTCCACCACCTCCATTTTAGAAATGAGAGCGAGATGCAGCTCTCACTTTGGGCCCAACAGCCTTGTTCAGAATTTCCTTGTCCCCCTCTCTGTACCCTCTAACCTGGCAGGAATGTGTAACTAACTCTCACCCCTTGGGTCCATTTGAGACTTGGCCTCTGGAAGTCACCTGGAGCAGAGTGCCATAAGGACCTTCCACTCGTGTTCCTCAGATGAACTTTGAGTCAGACCTCTGGTCTGCCTGGGTCTTCTGCTCCAGGGTCCTAGTGCTGGATTCTGGCCTTGTGTCCAGGCTCTGACCCCAGGACCCAGATGTTAGCCTCAGATACCTGCCCCCCCAGGTCCCTCAGAGCCAGTGGTTTGGGATTTGGCTGGACCATCTGCTCTGCTCCAGCCAGATTTGCTGGTGCTCTGGCCTTTGCTCTCCCTGATAGCCCTCAGGCCCCTCCTGCGTGCTCTTTATTGCATTGACTCTTTGGTTTTAGGTGCAGTTCTCAGAAACCCAACTCCACGTGGTTGGTCCAAAATTGATGGCCCCTGGGTTACTGCCTAGTGGCCACCATGCTCTCCTCCTGACTGGCCAGCTCGATTCATCGTTTTGAACCTCCCGGGCCTTCTGTTGCCAGGTTGATTCCTGATTCGTGCACTGAACCTTGTTTGCAGGGAAAACGGCTGCTGGCTTCCGTACTCGCCTAAGCTTGGCTGTTCCTTCTCTCCATCAGGGTGTCCTGACTCCCCATAACTCCCACCCTATAGTGTTCCAATCCACTTCCCTAATGGGGGTTCTTCTATGGCTTTGGCCTCCAAACTCCCTTTGCCTTTTTTCCTTTTAGATACTGCTGTTCATCCGCTGAGGCTTACTGTGCCGACATTCCTAGGAGAGGGGCCACACTGTTAGCTAATGGGAAACGGAAGCGGCAGCCTTTCCCCTGCCCTGTGGTCCCTCCCACACAAGAAAAGTCGAACAGGGATCATCCTGAGAGAGTTCCCTCCTTTTACTGAGCATAGCTGTTCCAGGCATTTCCCATGGCTCTTCCTTCCTGTCCTTTACCTGCCCTTCTCTGTGGGATCCTGTCCTCTGAACCAGACCTCCCAAGTTCCTTTGCCAACTAGTTTCTGGCTGGATTCAGCCAATGGAAAACTCGTGCTGGTGAACAACCCGCTTTCTCTGTTTCAGACAGTGTCAATGGCAGTGGCTATTCCTCCTACAAGGTTCCTGCTCTTGCCAGACAGCCCCTCCCTCCATGACTCCAGCTCAGGTACCAAGCCTCCCACTGAGATCCTCGCTCCTGAGAAATGCACACTGGGGAAGAGGAGCTCCTTAGTATCATCTCCTTCCACTGTACTTTAGCCGAGGGCGGTGGTGCTCCTGTGATGGCTCAGCTCTGGGCTGCCTTGCTATGCCCTGTGTGATCCGACATCATTGATTGTCGGCTGCATCATCCATTAAACAGCAACCCCTTTGGGGATAAATGAAATCACACTATATTATGCATATATCAAGTTTAATATGATGCAGCTTCGAAAAATATTAAAACACAAACAATGGTATATTTTAGAATTGAATCCTTATTATTATCATTATTCCTGCTTTTGAAGATTGAATATGTAATGTACACACTTGCAAGAATTCTCATAACATTTAATGTGGTTAGCCTTTTTCCTATTTAGTTTTTTTATTTCTCATTTCTTAAACTTACCTGACTACAGCTACCTTTTTATGCCGTATCTATTAACAACCAGAGGAAAGATGTTTCCCATGCATATACTGAGAAATATTGAGTCATCATATGAAAAGCACACAGTTCATAGTGGACCTCAAATATCCCATCCCTTCTTCCCTTCTTTCTTTTCCTTCCTGCCAGCCTGGGGTTGAGTTTTAAACCTTCAGTGGAGAGCTATTTCATCTCTGCCTTTCAATGAATGAAAATTCTATTTTTATATCTTCACGGATCATAGACTACTGGATCTTTGAGGGACTGTGGTAGGCAGAATTCTGAGATTGTCCCCAAAGTTCTCAGCCCCTGGTGTGCACATGCCTCCTCCCACTTACTAAAACACTAATCTAGGTGCTGCTGTGAAGGGATTTTGCAGATGTAATTAAGATCCCAAAGTAGTTGACTTTAAAGTAGGGAGCTGGAGAGGCCCTTGTTGACAGTCAGCAAGGACATGGGGGCCTCAGTCCTACAACCACCAGGAACTGAATTTTGTCATGACTATTTAAGCTCCATATGAGGATGCAGACTGGTGGACTCCCTCAGCAGAGCACCTGGCCGCGACATGCCCGGACCCTAGCCTACAGAGCTGTGAGCCAATAAATGGGCGTTGTTTTAAGCTGCTAATTGGTTACACAATAGTAGAAAAGTAACACATGGACAATTCTTTTCTTTTTGCAGCTGTGGAAACTGAGGCTAAGAGAAGTCAGGTTGTGTCTCCTGATCTCTTATGTCACTCCTGCGGGCACCATGCCTGTCCCCATAGGTAGCGCCAAAGTGCCCACACCAGGGTCTTTTTCAAATGACAGTTTTTTTGAAGAAGAGAAAACTCCTGTTTTTCCATCTGATTGATCATCTGGAGCCTCAGTGGTTGCTTATCTCCGGTGCAGACCCCCTGAGGTATCGAGTGGGGGGCCCTCGGTGGAACTGGAAGTAGGGCCAGCCCTGCATGCTTCATTTTCTTCATTCCCAATCTAAAATTAGGTGCAGCTGGTATGACTGCACGAACTCTGTCCTTGGTCCTGAGCCAGGATGTGGCCACTGTTTGCCCAGGATCCTGTTGCAGAGGATCCAAAGTTACGAGGCTCCCAGCGGGCGCTCCCTCTGCGGTCCCTGAGACAGATGGCTGTGCAATGGCGATAAACCTTCTTCTCTGTTCTCCTTCGTGGCTTCTGGGGCTCCATCTGCTTGTCCTTCCAAACTCCTGCTTCCAAATTTGGTGTCTGAAGAGAGGCTGCCAAGAGAAATTGGGCTTTGGGGAGTCAACATACTCTTCTCCATATTTCGTTGTTTCCTGGTACCCCAGAGCCAAAGTCGGCCTCAGTAACAGGGCACAAGAAATAAATATTTCCATGTGTCAATTCACGTGCACAATCTGACTCTTTAATTCTAGGTCTGCCTATCTACAACTGCTCAACTCAGTGTACATCCACATGGTGTGATTTAGAGAGTCTAGGACCATTAACTCTGACTTGGGCAAAGCCAAACAGACAGTTCTTGACTAAAGGAAGTCTCATACTACCATCATTAGTGTACACCAACAAGTACAGTGAGCATCTATTACTACTATATCCAATCTTTGCTAGGTCCTTTAGAAAATGCCAGAGCTGAAAAATAAGGTATAAATCATCAGGGAAATGCAAATCAAACCATAATGAGCTATCTTCTCACACCAATTAGGATGGCTGTTATTAAAAAAAGATAAGTGTCGGCGAGGATGTGGAGAGAAGTGAACTCTGGTACAGTGTTGATGGGAATGCAAATTGGTACAGCCACTATGGAAAACAATATGGAAGTTCCTTGAAAAATTAAAAATAGAAATACCATATGACCAAGGAATCCCACTTCTGGGATTTTCTGAGTATTTATCCAATGGAAATGAAATCAGGATCTCAAAGAGTTATCTGCACTCCTATGCTCATTGCAGCATTATTCACAATAACCAAGATTGTGAAACAACCTAACTGTCCATCAGTGGTTGAATAGATAAAGAAAATGTGGTATACACATAAAATGAAATATTGTCTAGCCTTAAAAAGAAGGAAATACTACCATCTGCAATAACATGGATGGACCTGGAGGACATTATACGAAGTGAAATAAGCCAGACACAGAAAGACAAATACTTAATGATCTCACTTCCATGTGGAATTTAAAGTAGTTGAACTCATAGAAGCACAGAGTAGAATGGTGGTTGCCAGGGGCTGGGGAGGAGGATATGAGGAGATGCTGGTCAAGGGTACAAAGTATCAGTAGTGCAAGATGAGTAAGTTCTGGAGATCTAATGTATAGCATGGTGACTTACAGGTAACAACAGTGTACTTGAAATTTGCTAAGAGGGTAGATTCTAGGTGTTCTCACCACACACACAAAAAAGGTAACTATGTGAGGTGGTGAATGTGTTAATTAGCTTGATTGTGGTGATTATTTCACAGTATATGTATATCAAATCGTCACATTGTATACTTTTAATATATACAGTAGAAAAGAAAAAGAAAGTACAATTTCTACTCTCAAATAGCTTATAGAGAATAAAATACAGATTAAAGTTAAGTGACATAATTTGATATATAGACAAAATCTACTGCATAATGTCCCAGACCAGAAGAATCACTGCGGGTTGAATTTGTTTGGGCGTTTTTGTGGAGATCGTAAAACTTGAAATGGATCTTGAAGAATTAATATTCAGTTCTAAAAGCCTATCTTTATTTCAGATAGACACATAGATAAATACATCCATTGAAGAAAATTTGGAAAGAATGGAAAAGATTTGAGAAGGCAAAGATTGCCTCTAATCCCCCGAGCCTTAGATACCAATATATAACAACCAGAACAACTTCACAAAACTTTTATTTCTCCCATTATCCTAGTTTATTTCTTGTGTCTTGACTAGAATTTATACTCCATCTGGTACTAAAACAGTTTTGAGAAATCTTAAAAATTAAGCACAATGTAGAATATAAAAGATTTAAAATATTATAATAATCCTCTTATTGCCTAGTAAAAACTTTTTGACTTCTGTTAATTGATTTTATTCTTCTTAGCTTCCTTGTTATCAAGGCACAAGAGAAAAGCATTGATTTATATTTCTGCTACTTTTTGCTTTATTTATCAAGCTTTGTCCTATCATTGAATTCAAATAAGCATGAGAAAATACTGGGTATCATAATAGACAATGCATTTAAATGCAGTTTTGGAAAACATGCATACGTGTTGTTCAAATGGAAGAGGGCATAACACTAAATTTTCTTAGTTGCCTGAAAAATTGTTTTCACTAGGTTATACATAATCTAGTCTATGTTCATTGCAATTTAATTTTCTGGTTTAGTCTAGCAAAAGAAAATAAAAAAACCTATTAGACTGTTTGTGAAGGTGTGTATTAGATACCCCCTCTCAACTATCAGCTGTCTCAGGCGGGCCTTCTGCAGGCGTGGATTACCACCTATTCATATGTGAATTCTCTAGCAAGTGCTTGCGGCACAGAGATTCATTGTGGCTCATTAACATAAGAGAGTCTTACGTTTTGGCTACCAGTCTTGCATGAGGAAGACCTGTCATTCTGATGCGTAAATTAAAACTCAGATAGAGATCCAGTGGGCTGCAGGGGAATCTGTAGGACTTAAAAGTAATGGGCTCTCTACTTTTCAGATGAAAATCGTCTTTTCCACGTGATGGGATTCAGAGATCTGACCATCCAACATGTGCCTGAGGATATCTAAGGGAAAGTGTTAATCAACTTCTTGTTAGTTTCAACTTCTCCTGATTTTACTGACTTCGAATAAAATTGTATCTTGGTGGATCACAGGAATAAGTAATTTGCAAAATTCATCACCAAGCAATCTAATAAGTTGACCTGGGAGTATGGCCATTGATCATTGTCATTTAAGTGTTACAGCACCTACAACTCTAACAATTTAATTTTCATATATTTGAGGCTGAGCAGCCTAATTTCACCTGCATTGCCTTTGATTTTAAAATATTATTGTTCCCAATATATTCACCTGAAAGAGAGAACAAGGCAATGGCTTTTATAAAAGACGATTTATTCCTCCCCTCAACTGTAGACCACAAGGAGCACAGGGCAGGTGGCCGGCCTGGAGACTCTCTAGAGCATGGAGAAGGTGGAGCCATCTTCCCAACTCCCCAGGAGCAGTACTGACTGGAGGACGCTCCTCCTCAAAACTCACAAACCACTCTGTTGGGGTGGTGTGTTTACAGATTTTTGTTCTCCCCTCTCTCTCAATGGTTGTAGTCCTGAGGGTTAAATTTATTGCCAAGAACCAGGCTTGTAGATACTGTCAGGTCTTCCATCCAGGGTGGCTGTTATTATTTAACCTGTCTCTGGGTCCTCTCCCCCATCTCCCCGTGCGCTGGGATTCCCATCTCGTCGGACGTTCCTGCAGTGAGTAAACGCCTCCCCCCTCTGAGAAGCTTCGATGTTGAACTTCATTTTGGAGAAAGTAGAAAAGGCCTATAAATAGGGTGATCCTGGAATTTATGTCAAGTGTCTGACAAATTGACTTTACCATATAGGCAGATATATAAATTAGCTAAATTCCAAAACCATTTACAAAAATAAAATTATTTTTGAAATTTAAAATGATATATCAATATATATTAAAGCTAATGAAAAATTCTTTATATCATTTTAATGAATATTAAAAACAAGCACAGACAGAATAATTATGCTTGCAACATAGGTGCTTCTCCTCCAGGTGCTGAGGCCCTAGTGATCACAGGACAGATTCTGTTAAGTGGAGGATAGTCTCAGTTCTACTCCTTTTATTTTAAAACAGGCAAAAATATCAGCCCAGATATGTTCACAGGTACTTATTTTTGGCCTTCGTTTATATTAGATTTTCTCAAAAATAATTTTTATGAGACAAACTATATTGAAGTATTTGGACTATTATCAAATTTGGATGCCAAAAATCATTGGCCTTCTCCATTTTATTCTATTCTACTGCGGAATATAACATATCAATTAAAAATGTTGAGATATTCCAAAGTGCAATTATGGAATTTCAAAATGAAATTTGGTACACTGTTTGAGATTTTTTTCATTTAATTTATCCGGCCTCTTCCTTTTGAAGGGTTAAGTTTCAGTGCTTCCTTCTTGAACACTTTGTTTTCAAGAGTTACAATTCACTAAAAGTTGTAAAATCTAATGTTACTTTTGTCATTTCAAGTATTGAAAATTTTTGAATAAAAATATTTCCACTTGACTTGGAACAACACGCAACGTTGCAAAATTCAGAGGATTCATTTACTACAAATTGAGTTTACTACCACTGCAGGCCCCTCAGGTTGATTACAGTGAAGTCCTTCGAAGGCTCAGGCATTTCTGCCGTCAGACTGATGGCAGCTTCCAAAAGAGAAAGTGCGTGCTACCACGTGGAAGTATTTTTATTGTATCCAATGTCAGGTTTGTCTCAAAAAATTTCGTAGTTCAGTTATTCTTCATCTCTCTGTCTCTGTTTCTCTGTACATCCCCCCATATACGCCCCCCATATATACACATTCAAATAAGTTGCAGTATTTTACCAATCAAAATAGAAGCTGCTACAGTTTTTGTAATTTAGTAAAATGTTGGTTTCACAGTGTCACTCTGCTGTACCAAAATTTGTCACACCACCACAAAACCAAATAATTTTATGTTTAATGTTTATCTTTAAACCAGATTTGGACTAGCTTTCAGAACAGTGTCAGCTATTTCAACTTGGACAGGATAAACTCCCAACAGGTTTTCTTTGATTCCTGACTTGTAAGAGAAAATTTGAGCCATGGTTACAATTTATTAAGCTGATTTCCTTTTGGAAGCATCTCATTACAATGACATAAAACTGATGTCATTCAACTATTTGCAAAGTTCTTCCACTGCTAATGGAGTCCAAATCTTCACAGCCATGACTTGCTGTTTCTTACACGTATAGGGAAACTTAGAAGAGAAAATGAACGTGATTCACTTAGAAGAACAGTCCTCTGATGGAAAAGAAAACTGCTTTGCAGAGTGATAAGAAAATACACTCTCTGTAACTGTGAAATCATCATTTTGGGGCACAGTCTTCCTAAAATAACTATTCAGGCATGAGGTAGGTGCTGATTCATTTCAGATTTGCATGTTCTAGCTTCGTGTGGTTGGTGATCTCATTCTGACTTCCAAGACTGGGGCTCGACATTGCCTCTGAACCCCAAATCCAGCCCCAAATTCCTAACCCATTGATTTGCCTGTTGAAATTTCTTTAGTAACTGTTCTCCACTCACCTGCTGAGACACTAACCTCTTACTGGATTTCCTCATCCTTTCTGCCTTCCTAAACCACCACCAGCCCTCTGGGGTCCCCTTCTCTGTGGTTGCCCTATCACTCCATCCTGGTCGGCAATCCTTCCACCACCTGGGCTTGTGGCTCCTCCCGTCTGTCTCCCTCCCTCACCCGGTGATCAATTTGGACCTAGATTTTGCCTTTCTCCCCCCAGTTGCCTCAATCCACTGTGGTGAACCTCTCTGTTTCCTGCTGACCTCATATGTAGTGAAAAGCTGGTGTAGTTTAAGGAAATGGTTAGCAAGCAGGTTAATAATTTATGTGAGGAGTTTGAGGACTTTTTTTTGACAATGATACAGGTCACTTAAAAAATTTACTCTGCACAAGTGCTATCCCAATTAACTTCAGAAGTCATAGTTTGTATCCTATCAGAAAACTGGATCCCGATCTTTGCCAAATAATTCTGGACCAGGAGATTTTCTCTTGGGGAGTTTTTCTTTATTATTAAGTGATAACACAGGTAAAATTACTTAGTAACGTGGGTCTGGTGAGAGGCAGGTCTGCTTTCGTCCCCCTGTTGGCAGGATGTAGGGTGGTGTACCAGATCCTGACATGACTTCTAGAGTTCTAACAGGACCCATTTTCAGGGACTCTGAGATGTACTGCAGGGGCCTGGCAATGGATTGACTGAACAAGGCAGAGATCCAGTGAGCAGAACTTAGATTTCAGGGAGTTTCAGAGTTTACAAAGAACATTCATAAACACACGGAAGCCACTCACATCAGGGATAAGGCAAAAGAACATTTATTGAAAGAAGTAAGCAAAGTCAAATTGGGCAGCCAAGACTCTGAGTTCCTAGTCCAAGGGTGATTGATGATCACCTTCCAGACTTAGGGATGGTTGGAGCATGGTTTGTTGTGACTACGGGAAAGAAAGACCTCTCCTAAAGCAATCCACATTCCCTCGAGATCCTCCTCTCCCAAGTGAAGGAGTGGAGAGGACAGTCTAGCTGGGGGTTGATTGCAAGGGAGCAGCCAGAGCAAGGTCACAGAAGGGAGGGACTTCTCCAAAGGCGGTTGGATCCTTCCCATGTCCAGACCATGCATCTCATACCTGATATTTTTAGCAGGAAGAAACTGGAGACTGGAGCATCAGGTAGAAGTCTCTGCTGGGACCCAGGGAAGAAGCAAAGTGTAGAGGAGAGGAGAGAAAACACAGGATACCCTGTTAAATTTGTATTCTAGATAAACTACGAATACTTTTTTAGTACAGATATATCCCCAATATTGCATGGGACATAATTAAACTAAGCATTTATTTATATTTAAATTTATAATTTAAGTTTAACTGGGTGTTCTGTATTTAATCTGGCAACCCTCACAAGGTTACATTTATTATCTTAAATAATTCTCATAGTAAAATGCTAGCATATTATGTGCACATAGTAAGTATTAAACTATTAATTATCATTATTTTTATTCTATAAACATTGTCTAGTACAAACCCCTATACAATATGTTTGGAAATTGAGGCTTAGAAAATTTATGGTACTTACCCAAGAATATGCACACAGTTTTTTATTTCCCCAGAGACAGAACTCAGATCCACAGATGCCCCACTGCTGATTTCTCTACAACATCCCACTGGTAATAGTAGCTCTAAGGAGACTGACCTGAGAGCGTGAAGATCTGTCCATAGTTTCCCTTTAACTATTCCTTCTCTGAGCCGAATGCTGATTCCTTGACATGTCCAGTGTGGCAGAAGACCAACAGCATCAGCATCACCTGGGAGCTTGTTAGAGATGCAGAATCAAAGTTCTCCTCCTTCATCAGAATCAGCATTTTAAACAAAATCCCCAAGTGGTTTGTTGGCACATTGACATCTGAGAAACTCTTTTCTAGCTCAGCCTCAGCCATCTTTGTCCTTCTGAGCAGTGGTTCTTAGTCCTGGCTGTAAATTAGAATCACCTGCAGAGTTAGAGCCGCCTGAAGCCTGAGCCCTCGTCCAGAGATTTTGACTTAATGAGGCTAGGGTGGTCCCTGGGAATCAGTGTTTTCTCTCAACTCCAGGCCATCCTAATGTGCAGTCTCGGCTGAGAACTACTGATTTAAGGAGCACTTTGTCACCCAAGGCAAATGATGATGGAAGAAATCAATGTCTCCAATGATAGATCTTTTCTTTCAGCAATGAGGGATTGAATATAGAAGCAGACAATGGCAAGACCATATATAAAATACTAACTGTAACTCACAGTCTTCAGCAGCCAGCCCAGAAATCCAACCCATTATCTACAGTGGCCAGCCCAGGGAGCCAGCCTCCTATCTGTACATCAGACTTGCAGGAAGTCAGAACACTATCTCTAGCAACCAGCTCAGGAAGCTGCACACTAACCCCTAGAACAATTGGCCCCAAATGGCCAGGACTTGATTAATATGTGCCAGCGTCTCTAATTTTAGTTCTCACTTCCAAATTAAGACCAAACAGAGAAAGCCAAAAATACACCCCCTAACTAATCATATAGGATATCCCGTTTCTAGTTAACTTACCTCCAGCTTCCCTGGCCCACAGCCTCCATCAGGCATACCTGAACCCCCCTTTTCCCACTATGAATCTGTCCTGTCCTCTGCGTGCCTTTTCTTTTTTTTGCTGGGAAATATTTGCCCTGAGCTAAGATTTGTTGCCAATCTTCTTTTTTTCTCCTCCCAAAAGCCCCAGTGCATAGTTGTATATTCTAATTGTAAGTCCTTCTAGTTCTTCTGTGTGAGCTGCCAGTGCCACAGCATGGCAACTGACAGATGAGTGGTGTGATTCTGTGCCCAGGAAGTGAACCCAGGCCACTGGAGTGGTGAGAGTGCTGAACCTTAACCACTATGCCACCAGGGATGGCTCATCCTCTGCCTGCCTTTGAGTCTCTGCCAAGCGCAGGTAATGGTGGCCAACTCCTGTGCTATGTCAACCTTTGATGAACAGCCTTTGCTTGATCTCATTTGATTGGTCTTCATTTATTTCTACCACATGCTGCTAGAGATGAGGTGGATGCAGGATAAACAGAAGGGACAGAGAGAACAGATTTTCAGTATGCTATGAAGAAGTTGACACTTTTCTTCTACTCATCCCAAACCTGTCTCAGCAAATAGGAGGATCAGAATTAGATGGACTAAGTCACTCACCATCTCAAGCTCCAAAGCCCTGCTCCTTATTTCTCCTCTGTCCTCTGACCTTCCCCCTCTGGTCCATGCTTCTGAGAGTCATTGTAATGCGGGGTATGGGCTCTGGAACTCGACTGCCTGGGTTTGGACCTCAGCTCCACTATAGATTGACTGCGTGACTTTGGGTAAACCATCAGTCATTGTGTGCCTTGGTTTCTGATCCCATCTCTTGGGGTTCTTGTGAGAATGAATGAATTGATACACGTAAAGCACTTAGCCCAAGCCCCAGGGCTTATTAAGCACTCTGTGAGTGTAAGTCACTGTCCTCATTATTCTGCAGGATGCTGTTTTTTCTCCTCATTTTGTCACTCAAGCAAAGACACAAACACCCTCCCTCACTGAATCAAGGCATTGTGAATAGTAGAATTTACTGAAGGTTGGGGAAAAGAGAGGCTGTATTAGTCAGTTTGGGCTGCCATGAAATACCATAAACTGGGTGGCTTAAGCAAGAGAAATTTATTTTCTCACAATTTTGGAGGCTAGAAGCCCAAGATTAAGGTTCTGGCTGATTCGGTTTCTGGTGACAGCTCTCTTCCTGGCTTGTAGATGGCCACATTCTTGCTGTCCTCACCTGGCCTTTCCTCTGTGTGTGTGCACACAGGAGGTGCGGGGATGGGAGGGGGGTGGGGTGGAGAGAGGGCTCTCTGATATCCCTTCTTATAAGAGCACTAACCTTATCAGATCAGAGTCCCACCCCATGACTTCATTTAATCTTAAGGACTTCCTTACTCCAAATACAGCCACACGAGGGGTAGGGCTTCAACACGTGACTCTGGTGGACACATACATTCAGTCTACAACAGAGGCGTATTCCACATAGAAAGGGAACGATTTGCAAGTGCAGATTATGCATCCTTGTTCCGGTTCCCTGTGATTCCTGTCACCAGGACACCCTCATCCATACCTCATGCAGATCTCAGTCCAATGCACCTGAGGCTCACAGTCCTCCTCCTAAGTAGCTTCTCTCTTCCTCTGATTTCCAGAGTCCCGGGTCCGTCAAAACTCCTGTCATCCAGGCTTTCCAGAAGCTATCCACCAATTAACATGAAAACAGTTTCTGGCCCTGCTGTGGGTTCCTTTTACTTCATTAAGGAGAGCTCTTCAGCTCTCCTTGTCTCAACAGCTCTCTCCCTCACTCCCATCTTTTTAAGATATGAAATGTCAGGTTCAAAGAGCCATCGAACTACTGCATATTCATTCATTCAATCCTATTTATTGAGCTTCTACTGTGTGCCAGGCATCGTGCTGAGTGATGAGGACTATAATAATGAGTAGAGAGAGCCCCTTCTTTCATGGAGCTAACATCTATGGAAGAGTAAGAGACCTGACTTAGACTGGGGTCAGGGAAGAGAAATGAGGGAAATGCCCTTTGACCTGAGATCTAAATAACAAATAAAAGTTTGCTTGGTAAACAGTGTGTGTGTGGGGGCGGGGGAGGTAGATGGAGGGGATAAGGAATTGGAGAGATCATTCCTGACAGAAGGACCTCATGGAGAAAGAGCCATTATCAGGAGCAAATAAAACATCAGGACTTTATCAGCATACTAGTTAGGGTCCAACCAGGAAAACAGAAACCACCTGTAGTTCTTAATCAGAAGGAATTTAGTAGAGGAAATTGCTTACTTTGGTTAAAAAAAGCTAAGAAACCAGACACAGGAGAGTGAGCTACCACAGAGAGTAGCAACAGCTGGCAGCTGTTCTTAAATTTAAGTTTTTAAATTATAGAACTTTTGTACTTCAAAACTCACTATTAAGAAAATTAAAAGACAAGTCACCGACTGTGAGAAAATATTTGCAAATCATATCCCTGAAAAGGACTGGTATGCAGAATAAATAAAGAGCACTTACAGCTCAATAATAACAAACAACCCCGTTAAAAAATGGGCAAAAGACTTGAGTAGACATTTCTCCAAAGAAGACATATGAATGGCTAAAAACCACTTGGAAAGGTGCTGAGCACCGTTCGTCATTAGGGAAATGAAATTAAAGCCACTTCACACTCACTGAAATTCCCATAGGACACCTAGGAATTTATTTGAGACAAATGAAAACATATGTCTCACAAAGACTTATGTACATGTACATTCATAGTGTTATTCATGGTAACCCCAAACTGGAAACAACCCAAATGTCTTTCCACTGGTGAATTCAGAATTTGGTGTACTCATCCAATGGAATACTATACAACAATAAAAAGGAATAAAATATGAAATACTGATACATACTACAAAATGGATGGATCTCAAATATATTTCGCTAATTGAAAGAATCCAGGCACAAAGACTCCTTATTAAATGTAAACGTATGGAGCCAGAATGCAGATTGGTGGTTATTGGAATGGGAGTGTTGACTGACGGCAAATAGGCTCATGGGAAGTTTTTGGGGGTGATGGAAATGTTCTCAAACTTCACCGTAGTAATGATGGCTCAACTCTACAAATTCACTAAAAGTTATTAAATTGTACACTTGCAGGGGTTACGTTATACCTCAATAAAGCTGGAAAAATTGCACATAATATATCTTGCTGCTATAACTTGGACTCAGCTCCTGCTGTTGACATGGCATATTTTCTTCTCCCCTCCTATTTGTTGCTCTTGAAGATTTCCCACCCATTTCTGGACAGCCTTGTTCAATTTCTAGTTAAGTTCATAGGTATCAAGTACTTCATTAGAACATTACATTCCTCATTCTGAAAACTGCTTTCCTTCAAGTAATTATTAAACACTCTTGTCAAAGGCCATCTCTCGTGCCAACTGGCTGTAAGTCTGAGCACTCCTGGGCCATTCATCACCATGGCGGCGCATCCGTTCTCTCCTGGCTTCGCTGCCTTATAAAGTAGAGGGGCACTAGGATCCTGTGCCTGCCTCTCTGCCTCTAATCTTTTACTCAGGGCTGCTCCTTAACTCAGAGTTAATATAAACCTGACCTTATTCCTCCCTCTGCAATTTGAAACAACAGAAGAACAATGGCAGTACAGAACTTTTTAATGGTCTTCAGTAGGATCCTGCACACAGGCTGCTGTACATTAAATGTTTGTGTCTCCCCAGAATTTGTATAGTGAAAACCTAATACTCCATGTGATGGTATTCGGAGGTGGGCTTTTGGGATGTGATTAGATTGTGAGAACCCTCATAAATGGACTCAGTGCCCTTGTTAAAGAGGCCCGAGAAAGCTCCCTTGCCCCTTCCTCATGTGAGGATCCAGCGAGAAGGCACTGTCTATTAACCAGGAAGCGGTTTGACCAGGCACCGAATCTGTGGCCTCTTGATCCTGGACTTCCAGCTCCCAAATGGTGAGAAATAAATTTTTATTGTTTATAAACCACCTAGTCTATGGTATTCTGTTATAGCAGCCCAAACAGACTTAAGATACAGACAAATGGTTCCCATGTCATCAAGAAATAAAACCGGGGGCAAGAGAAGAGGCCAAAGGGAAAAACTGGCAAACTCTGTGTCTTGGGTTATGCTTAGTAGGAGCTTGAGTTTTCCTTTTCGTTCCCTTCTAGAAGGGAAAGAAGAGAAGCATTCTTTTCACACTTGAGTCTGTCGGGGTGAGATCTGCTATCTTTGGCTCCCTGTCATTTATTTTCAAATATATAATCAAAAGCCAACTAACCACAACCTCCCAAAATTGAACCAAGAAGAAATGGAGAATCTGAATAGACCAATAACAAGTAAAGAGATTGAAATAGTAATCAAAAACCTCCCAAAAAATAAAAGTCCAGGACCAGATGGCTTCTCCAGTGAATTTTACCAAACATTCAAAGAAGATTTAATACCCATCCTC